CAGAGGCCGGAGGCCGGAGGGCCCCCTTTGCCCCGGAAGAGGCACCAGGACCCGCCAAGTAGCCACCGGGAGTGAGCTGGTACATACCAACGCACCGACCCCTGAGGGCATCAGTTACCGGCAGGGAGTAAGGTGTTACTAACGGCGTTACTTTTTTCAGTAACAAGTAATCTAACTAATTACTATTCCTGTCGTTACAACGCCGTTACAGTTACTAACAAGTAAATGCGGTCCATTACTATTTTTCAACAAACAGACGGTTGAAGCTGTGTTCAGCTTACCGCATCTTATATCAGTTGAACGGATTAGCTGACTACGTAAGTAATCTGGACGCTACAGCTGTTATTAAGAGATATACTCTAAAGCACTTCTTCAGTAGAGACTCAGAGAAGAGAAACACACAGAACTTCTTGCTAGCAAGGGCAGCCTCCAGAACTGGGACTCGCACTGAGAAACTGCCCCGGTCTTTATTTATACTTCAGTGTGTGTGTGTGTGTGTGTGTGTGTGTGTGTGTGTGAGACCCCATAAACGACTTCATCTAAACAAAAAGCACTTAGACTAGAACAGATATAGCTACCTTAATCCTACCGTAAAACAATAAGACAAGGTACGACCTCTCCCATACTCCTAGGATGTGGGGGTGAAGCCAGAACACCCTGGAATGTTACAGACCTCCTAGGATGAGACATTCTTTCAATATGCCACCAACTATATACTTCTAAACACAAATGATTACATGCAGTATTCTACCATATGCAAACTTACACCATTAAAAGATTATACTGACAATTTTCCTATTGACAACAGCCCACTCACATCCTGGGTCATTTCACCTGAGGAAATCACATGATAGGGTGGGGCAAGGTCTCACAACCTCGGCTGGTAGTGACCCACACCTGTTTTCACACCTTGGCTCATGTGATTAGATAGATTCATTCATTTATTTGTTCATTTCAGGCACAACAAAAATACATATATTGAACATAAAGTGCACAAAACAAAAACAAAAATTACCTGAAAAGGAGTGGGACGAAGAAAACTTATTAAATCCCACCCCTATACTCACTGATCAATAGTGGGTCAGCGACCCCCTTAGTGACTCTGCATCATTTGCTCTTAGAACTGAAGAAGCTTCTTGGATGAAACACCTTCAAGAAACTTAAAGTCCAGACCTTTTTTACCAAGCTCCTCATATCACCATGAACCTTCAGCAGACCTACTGATCTCTAATCTAGCACATGACCTAGGAAGTCACTGAAGCATGATTTCTGCCCTCTCAGCCACACAGCATCGATTTGTAACCTTTGTTTGATTTTAACAAGTTTTCTGCATTCTCCTGATCCACACACTCTCTCACACACACAGAATAAACTGAAACAGTCAGTGACAAGTGTGAGAACATGAGTGATCAAACGTCAGTGTGAATGAGTCCTCAGAGAGCGAGAACCATCTGGAGCCTCTGTGTGTGTGAGCACTAAGGGGGCGGATCCCTTTGAGGTCCAGGTGGGAAGCTGGTCCATTTGCTGTGGGCAGCGTTTCCCTGGGGTCCTCACAAAGGCACAAAGAACAACGTGTGTGTGTCTGATAAGTGCTATGTATGTCTGTGGTCTGTTTGTGTGTGTGTGTGTGTGTGTGTGTGTGTGGTGTGTGCGTGTGGTGTGCATGTGTGTGTGTGTGTGTGTGAAGAGACAGAGAGAGTGTGGAGAGAGGAGAGAGCATCTCCCACTGAGACAATCTGTCACCCATTTCCTGCTCTCCTGTGATTGGCCAGAAGAGCTGGCTGCTGGTCAATCACAGACCGTAATTAACAAGCAAGGTGTGCGTGTGTGTTTACAGTGCAACGAGGCTGAGCATGAAAGGAAAGTTGCATAACTGTTCATTATTATTACGGCACAAACACATAGTTGTTTTGATTACACGTTTGGCATAATTTTTAATCATCTAAATGAAAACAACATGTTGCTATGGAAACATGCACACAGAGAAAGGATGTGATTGTAAACTGATTATTGGATAGATTTTGTAAAGGGCATGACCCCCGTTACACCTCAGCATCTCATGTGAAAGCTGCGACTCTGAACAGAAACATAACCTAAACTAACCTCGTATTGTGGATGGGTTATCTCAGTTGTTCAGTTGTTCTCCTGACTGAAGTTTGGTCCATGTACAGCGTCCTGCCATGCAATTGCATTTGTTCCTTACCCATCCAAACTTCAGTAACCCTACAAACGTCACTGCTGTTTAGTTTTCTGTCTTCATTTCATTTTAAATCCCTCACTCAGAACATGGTATTGTATATTATTTAATCTTAAAAATTTTTTTGGAGACCTCCCACATACCACTAGAGGGAGCCCACATACCACCAGTGGTATGCATAACACAGTTTGAGAACCACTGCTACAGAGGTCTTAGAGAACATGAGCTCCTTCACCAGCTCCAGATAAAAACCTTCACCAACCAGGTGGGAATTATTTTTTTATAGGTCAAGACTATAGGATCCAAGGAGAGATCAAAGGTCAAAGACATGACCTCAGATATGCTGTGGTCAAGTCTCAGGGAGCTGTTTATGAAGAATGTTTACTAGTTGATGGATTGGCTGATTGATTTCATTCCAGCACATATTGAAGAAATATCCCATTTACACATATTAGAACATGATACTTGTGCTGGTGGATTATGGGAGGGTGGGGCCTTTGCTGGGTCACCTGACTGTGGGTGGGACTTCTTTGAAGCTCTTTCCTTCTTTGTTTCACTGATTAAGATAAACCTTCAGCTTTGTACCTTCATCTAGAGGAGCAGGAAAAATGTGAGCTCAGTGGGCGGGGCCTTTTCTCCATGACCTTTGAACCTGTTCTAGTTTTACTCTTTCAGACATTTTCATGATGGGGGGAGACTGAGCTCAGACTTTTATAATAAAGATGAAAACATGAAACTGTTGAACTGCTTGGTTGTTTCTGGAGTCATGGGTCAGATCTGACAGGTTGTCCTTTCTCGCTCTACTTCCTGTTTCAGAGGAAGAGTAAAGTTCACTATCAGGTGGCTGTCATCATCAACTATCTGGGCCACTGCATCTCTCTGGGAGCGCTGCTGCTTGCCTTCACGCTTTTCATGAGGCTCAGGTAATGCAGCTGTTTGTCTGTGTGTACACCTGTCTGAAGACATGTCGCACGCTTGCTGTAAGGACAGCTGAAGGGTTAAGCTTCAGTTCCTGGTTCAGGTTAAAGGATCAGTTATGCGCATCCTCACAAAGAAAGGAGCACAGGTCCAGCCCCCTGGTGGACGGTGAGGGTAATGCAGGTGACTGTACCATGAAGAAGATTAAACAAACCCATGATATCCTTCCATCATCTGGACTCACCTTTACAATGGCGCTCACACAAAGCTAGTTATCAACTCACTAATCCTGCACATTCACATGAAGGGCATCTGACCAATCACAAAGGGGCATTTCGTGGGTCACATGACTCTTCTTCCACAGAAAATAATCCCTGTGAGCGCAACCTGATGTTACAACATGGTGATAAAAAAAAAATCTCTAAAGAACAGCGAAGTATGCAAATAAAATGCAACATTGTAGTAAAAAGGGTGAGATACATGCCACAGAAAATTCTTAATCAATTTAGTGCACGCAAACATTTGAATTCCAGGTGATAGTTTATTACTGAGCACGCTCAGTGCTGCTGTTTGTTTCCAAGGTGATGGCTGGAACCACTTCCTGTCCCACAGCCCGATGAAGGAGGCGTGGAAATCAGATCAGAGTGAATGAATATGATTGGCCGATCAGGTGTTCAGGTGTGTGTTCCATGTTTCCAGCAGAGTGGCGAGACTCAGCATCATGTCTGAATGAAGCAGAACACCACATGCACATCCTGTGACAACACCATTATCGACCATAAATCGACAGTGCGTCTTAAGTATGAATTCTGGTTGTGCTTACTGACCTCAAACCAATTTTATGTGGTACACGGCGCTCAAAAATCTATCAAAAAATGTTTTAATATGACTTTGGTAAGCTACAAAGCCGCACCGCTTGATGGATTGTCGGAGCATCACGGCTACCATAGTCAGGAGCCTCGTGGAGTGATACGTACTGTGCTTCAACGTAATATTATGGTGTGTGCATAAGGACCTGGCACACCTGGAACACCTAGCTGTTAGGATGCTACATGCTTATGAAGTAGATTTCAGACTTAAGGCTATCAGTCACTTTTTGTTTCACTTAATGCACCTTATGTATGAAAATAGATCCATTCATTGATACTGCACCTTATAGTCTGAAAAATATGGAAACTGAGAACATTACCTGCTCTGGACACTTTGAGTTTTTATTGCTGCTGTTCAAGGTTTGAAGCTAGATGTGATGACTGAATTCAGACCTCAGGTCAGCAGGTACAGTGCACTGGTCCTGTTTAAGGATAGGATATTAGAGAGAAATAAAACTGTTGTAAATTTGTTTGCTGACAACAGACAAAAACCTATAGCATAAAAATCAATATGTTTATTATTTACTGATCATCAGGGAAGCACAAAGACAGTGCACTGTAATGAGGGGTTTTCCAGGAATGATGATGCTATTTTCTGGCGATCTGATTGGTCTATAGGTGGCGATGTCATACCAATTGATCTGTAATCTGGAACCTAAGCAGGTCTAGAGAAGGTTGGAGTCACAGCACATGTTACCATGGCAGTTTTTCCCAGTAAGTAATAAACTACCTACAGAAAGCTCAGGTTAACCCTGAAGTTATCTGGATAAGCCAAAACCTGGCTTATCTGTATCTATATATCTATATCTGTAATACAGATCTCTGAAGCTGTGATCCAGTAATTAATTACTAAGTAAAACAAGATCAGAATTAATCTGTGTGAACGACGATGTATAAATCCTGGCAATCCCTCCTGCACTCAACAGCGTATACTATGTTACTCTGTTTGTGTTGGGGGACCCGATCCTTTGGGTGGTCTAATGTTTTGGCGCAGCGTGTTTTGGGGTTTAAAAGCCACAGAGACCTGGTGTTTAGAGAAAATGTGTCTCAGCTGCTCCGATACTCCTGACACGTACGGGATCACTACAGGTTTTCGATTAGGCAGCGGTTGTCCTTCTCTCCTGGATCGGCTGGAGCTTTCTTTAGGAGCCTTCCCAGCTTTGACAAAAATCCAGCTGGGATAACCACATTTACTCAGGGCCTTCTTGATGTGCTGTCCTTCTGCTTCCCTGGCCGCTGTGTCTGTGGGGATGGTGTTCGCTCTGCGTTAGGCGATATGTAAACCGGCAATCGTCAGTCCAATAATTGTCGATGTAATGTAATAGTAAAGTGTGCGTGTTAGTCCCCATAGGGAAATAGTTCCTCTGCATTTAACCCATTCACCCAGTGAAGCAGTGGGCAGCCACCAATGCAGCGCCCGGGGAGCAGTGTGTAGGGACGGTACCTTGCTCAGGGGTACCTCAGGGTAGCCGTTCAGTGGAGTCGAACCCCTGACCTTCCGATCATGGGGCCACCACTCTACCTACTGAGCTATCCCTGCCCCATCCCTGTGGTGACTTTTTGATGGGCGGAGCAATGTAATCATACATGTTTACAACACAGAAGAAGTTCAAACATGGACGAACTAATTTCCCCCAAGAAATTAGGGCTGTCAGCGTTAATGCGGTCATCACGATTAACGTGATTAAAATTTGTAACGCTCTCAACCCATCTGAAGCGCAGAATGAACAAACTTTGGACAAACTGCCTGGAATACATTTCAGGGATTGTAGCTCAGTCCGGTCCTGATAGGTTAGTTGTTAATCGTCTTTGTCATAATGACGGCGCGTTAACGCTGACAGCACTAAAAGAATATTCACATTCACTAACAGGGACCACTCCCTTGGTAACGATGAGCAATGAGGGATGAGGAAGTGTGATTAGTGCTGCGGTTTGGGGAAGGCCTTGAAGGGGGACTGGCGATGGCTCTCGGGCCGGGCTGAACCCCCTGTACTAACGAGAAATAAAGGGAGGCAAGGAAGAGAGGAGAGGACAGGAGAAGAGAGAAAAAAAGGGGGGGCAGGGTGGGGCATGAAAATGAGATCAGTGGGTATTGGAGAAGGGAGGCTTTTATAGGCTGAGGCCAGAGGGGGCGTGAAGGAGGAGTGGTCCCACTCATGAAATTCAGATGATATCTCCACTAAAGTCGCTTATTTTGGATGAAAGAGGTAAACCTAAGGATGTAACCAAAGCAGTGTGCCACTTGTGCAGATGTATAGTGCGAGCAAAGTTCTCAAAGGCGGCTAACTGGCATGAGCATGTACGTGTTCACCATCCGGCTGAGTATCAGCAGCTTCTGCAGCTCTGTCAACAAGCGTTTGGGCGCTCTCTGAGGAGGGGGCTGTTACAACAGCGCTATCATTGTTTTTTTCTGTTGACTGGATCTATTATCGCCATCATTCTTAGCAAACGTACTCATGGGCAAATAAACAAATGAATCGCTGATGGGCTCAGCCTTTTGACGATAGTTGATATAGTCATCCTATCGCCCAACCCTACTCTGCATTGTAGCGTCCTGGTGACACCCAGTTTGTGCTCCAGTAGATGATTATTAATAACAAAGTGATTCTGTTCCCATTCAGACCGCGCAATATCACCCAACAGTTTTTCATCACGTTCGTTTCATCTCCCCGTCATATGCTACTACTCTCTTTTATTCATTGGCACAATAATATGCCACTTTTAGAATCACCTGCACTGATAGCTAAGCTGTTTATTTTTCAGGATATAGTTATATTGTTACTTCATTAGAGTTATTTAATATTATATTTGCACTACCCTACAGTATATTACTGTATACTAGTATTGTATATATTGTATATCTTACTCCTCCGTTCCTCTGTCTCTCTTGCTGCATTGAGCATGTGTATGACATAAAAATTTCCCTCGGGATAAAGAAAGTTCTTCTTATATTATGATGAGAGTCAAACCTTAAATACTGATCTGTATGTGTCGGTTTACGGTACACATCAGCTTTTAGATGTCCCCCATTACTGATGGAGATCTCACAGTCTAAGAAGGCTAACCTGCCACTTTGACGTGTCGGTCCACCGAGTGAATGTGATCCGTGAAATGTGAAACGTCCTGAGATTTGATTTTCACCCAGGTGTCATCCATATACCTGAACCAATGACTTGTTCCAGAGTAGGATAGCAAAGCCCTCTTTTCCACTTCTTCCATGTACTAGTTGGCCACTCTTGATAGTCCAGGGTCTATCGAGCAGTTTCAGTAGAATGAACTTGTGAAATGAATGGACCCCACGCAGCCTCAAGTGACAGTTTTGTCATGCACAACACGTCCTTTCTTTTTCTTTTTCCTTAGGTTGGGAAGTTGTTTCCTTAGGTTGGGAAGTTGGCTTTTCAGCTGCTTCTCCACTCCACACTCAGCTCCTCTCTCGAGCCCCAGCATCACTGAAATAGTCTGATTACTGAGTGGCAGCAGCTGTCCTGCCAGCCACCCTGGCACTGCCCCTCCACTGCATCGGAGCCAGATACCACAGCCCTGCCACAGAGCTCTGCAAAAGCCAGGCTGGAAGATAGAGGCACATTATAAGACAGTTGTAAATAACTAGTTTCCTCCACCTGTGTTTGGTGTGCAGCACACCTGCACCGTCGTGTATGCTCCCAGCGTCATGTAGCTTTGACATGATTCAGGTCCTCGTGGCCGGGAGAGTTTTTCAACGTTAGAAATGACACTCTCAGGATGTGATTGATGTTCAGACCCTGATCTTCAGCCTGACCTATTAAACTGAACCATTTCAGCCGTTTTCCTTCTCAGCCTCTGATTGGCAAGCTCAGTTTACCTGATGGTCTTTCAGACTTCAGTTTGAACCCCCTGTGGCGAACCTGAACAATGAGCCGAAGCTTGCTGTTCTCGGTCATCGCCCTTCCTCCACTATGTCTACACTTCACGTTGGTGCTTCAGACCCTTCTTTGTCTTCTCTTCTGCATCACACAGGTTGGTTTTGTTTTCATGGGTCCACCGTTCCAGAGCTTGCTGCCTGGTCTACTTTGTCAAGTCTGATTTTTCTGTTCCTGAGCCTGATTGGTGCTTTGAAGTTTCTGGATTTTCTTTGTGATTCTTAACTTGGTGAACAGCTGGGAAACACGGCATCTTCCTCCAGGAGAGTCTTCCTCACTTGACTGAATGTTGTCCTTGACAAACTGCTCAGCATTCTCGCTGATATGCTCATTTCTTCAGCCCAATGATGACCTCCTTCACACAGCTCCTCTCCTCTTTGAAGCCGATCACGATTTCTGATGAACGAAATGCTAATTTAACACTTGACTCTAAATTAGTCCTGAGAGTAATGAGAAAGCAGGCTGACCTGGACTCGCAAGTGCTTATTGGCTGATAGTCCTTTATTTATCAAAATGATGCAAATGAAAACAAGCTTTAAAACAAACTGAAAGCTCTCCAATTAAAACATGAGAGGGTGATGCAGGGATGGTGATTGCTGTTAAATATTCCGTCATAATGTTTAAATAAAACAAATTTAAGCCTGTTAAAATGTAATGTACTAAAACCACCAGAAGGTGGCAGCAATGATCTGAAAGGTGTTTCCTGATGCTGCTCTGAAAAAGTCTGATGTTGTGAGATTAGCTGCTCACAAACAGGACAAATGCACAAACACAAAGGTGACCAAAAAGGCGAACATGATGAAATCCAGTTTAAACGACTGAGCGCAGCAGGAACAAGCTGCGGAAAGCTCAGTCCTGAAAAGCTCACCTGACTGTATAGTGTGGATGTGTTTAAGGAGGAGGCAATCAGTTCAAGTCTGTGTGTTTCAGGAGCATTCGCTGTTTGAGGAACATCATCCACTGGAACCTGATCTCCGCCTTCATCCTGAGGAACGCCACCTGGTTCATCGTCCAGCTAACAATGAATCCCGCTGTTACCGAGAGAAACCAGGTGCTCACGCACTCACACGCACAGACACATACTGACAAACACACTGATGCTGACCGTGACGCTGACTCCGGCCTCTGCAGGTGTGGTGCAGGCTGGTGACGGCAGGTTATAACTACTTCCATGTGACCAACTTCTTCTGGATGTTTGGTGAAGGCTGTTACCTCCACACTGCCGTCGTTCTCACCTACTCAACCGATAAACTCAGGAAGTGGATGTTCATCTGCATCGGGTGGGGTCAGTCCATCTGTCCCCCTTTCTGTCTGTCTACCTGTCCTCCTGTCCCTCTCTCTGCTCACCCGTCTCCCTCTCTGTCTGTCTGCAGGTATTCCATTCCCCATCATCGTGGCGTGGGCTTTTGGGAAGCTGTACTACGACAATGAGAAGTAGGTCATGTGACCAGACAAGACTTCTGCTAAATATAATGTGTTGCAATATTGAACGTGAGGAGTCACGTGACTGTGTTTTGATTGACAGGTGCTGGTTTGGAAAGAGGGCGGGAGTTTATACAGACTACATTTACCAAGGCCCCATGATCCTGGTCCTGCTGGTAGGAGCACAGCCAGTCCACCTTAAAAACACTACAGTCCTCCTTAAACACAGCCAGTCCATCTTAAATTCTGTCAGAGACTGATGCTGATGTTTTGGAGATTCCTTTGATCAGCAAGTGGTGCCGAAGCCTCCATCAGACAGTAGAAACCAGTAAAAACCCATAAAGTCTATAAATATCAGATTTGTTACAGACAGCTGAGAGGATGATTTATCGAGAGAGGAAGAGGAGTGAGATGGTCTGGTTTAACGTGAGAAGACACGTCAGCTGACAAGCTGTCATGTGATGTGGTCTCTGAAACCTGCTAACCTGATCAGACTCAGAGATGTACACACACTGAGAAGTCACATGTGTGTGAGAAACACCTGCACAGGTAACTTGGCTCATAGTCCAGCTGTGTATAAACCTGGAAGTCTTCTTCTCCTCAGATTAACTTCGTCTTCCTGTTCAACATCGTCCGGATCCTGATGACCAAACTCAGGGCATCAACAACCTCAGAAACCATTCAATACAGGTAGAAACACACCTGTAAAAGGGAAGAGCGTGACAGCTGAGCTGGGTTTGTGATTGATTGATCAGAAATAAGTCATTGGTTTGGTCTTACAGACAGATGAGAGCAGGTGTGATGTACAGGTGATAGTTAGCTGTCGCCTCACCTTTGCATGTCTCTTTGGAGGTCATCAAACACTCACACTGGCCGTGTCTTTACGGTCTGTCTTCACTGATGTTTATGCAGCTCCTCACATAAACCAGCTTATTTTCCCCTCTCGCTGCATGAGCCTGTTTGCTGAAGGTAAAGAATGCCTGTGTTGGTTAATGTGCTGCTCTGGTGCTGCAGGAAGGCGGTGAAGGCGACGCTGGTGCTGCTGCCTCTGTTAGGAATCACCTACATGCTTTTCTTTGTGAACCCCGGAGGAGAGGACGAGGTCGCTCGGATCGTCTTCATCTACTTCAACTCCATCCTTGAGTCCTTCCAGGTTCAGACTGCCACCCACACCAGAGGGAGCCTAACACAGTTTAATCGATTATCAGAGAGCCTCGGTGTGGTCACTGAGCACTAATACATGAGCTGTTGCTGTCAGACCAGGTTCAGCTTACTAAATCCAGTTTACTATGCTGGTCTCAGTCCAAGACTAAATTGGCCGAGCTTTCTTAGCTCAGTTTACACAGACTGATCTAAAAAGAATCATAAACCTTTAGCTTAGCTATTAGCCAGAACGTTGATGGACACATCCTTTGATGATGTCACTTCTAGGCTGGACTCTTGTAGCTCCTCTGCCCATCAGTCGCTGTTGGCTAACTTGTCGACTCTCTGTGTCCCTGCAGGGCTTTTTCGTCTCTGTGTTTTACTGCTTCCTGAATAGCGAGGTTTGTCATGTTAATCAGGATTCCTCTTGGTTTCACATCATGTATGAATTGTATTTACATGACCGTTCTGATGTCTCTGTTTACCTGTTTACATATCTAGGTGCGCTCCGCGGTCAGGAAGCGTTGGATTCGTTGGCAGGACCGTCACTCCATCCGGAGCCGTGTCATACGTGCCACGTCGCTGCCCACCTCACCGAGCAGAGTGTCCTTCCACAGCATCAAACAGTCCTCAAACCTCTGACAGACCTGAACTCACCCAATGGCGGTCTGAGATGTGATTCCCGTTGGCCAATCTGAGCTCTTATGATGCATGAGGACCAGACAGTTAGAGGGGGGCTCTGTGTGGCCCCGCCTCTCTTCACCCTCACTAGACTCTCCGTCTCTGGACTCAACCAATCAGCTGCTTCATATGTTGCACTGAGCAGTAGGGATGGGTATTGATAAGATTTTCACGATTCCGATTCCATTTTTGATTCTGTTTAACGATTCGATTCTTTCTCGATTCTTTTTAAAAATGGAGAACACTAAGGTCGAATAGCTTAGAACTTTGTTTTATATCTTCTCTTTGAACAAGATAGAAATTTAGGGGTAACATGGCCTTACAAACCCAACAGTGAGATCTTAAGAGATCCACAGCCTACGGCTCTTCAATGGGGTGTCACAGGGTCCCCAGGAAAAAAATTGTAAATGTAAAATAATAAAATAAATATTCTTCTGTAGCAATAACAAAGTATAACATAAATTATTCTGTAGCAATTACACAAGAATATCCAGTAATGTCCCTGCCTACAATTAAACACATTCACTTACTGAAAATCATCTGCTGTGGCAAACGGGTGCAAGCCTTTGACCACAAACTGAGTCTACTGCTCGGTGACATTCGTCTATCCTGGCCTGAAAGGAGACGCTACCGGTAGACTGCAGCGAGAACTGCCAGCATCTGAGCCAGACTCTGTCTCATCATGGTCACTAAATGCACAGTAATGGCAGGTTTGTAATAAGGCAGATCGCGCTAACATAATATGCACTGTTAGTTGATTATTTACCTGCCGCATTAACGGGAGAGGACGTGCAAACGTTACCGCTGCTGCTGGGTTGAGATTCACGAGTCCGGAGCGGAATTAAAAACACGACATTCATTTAAGGTCATCGCGTGTTTTGTGAGCAAATGCTTTTGCATATTCGTAGTGTTTCCTCCCTTAAATGAAATATCTACTTTGCAAGTATTGCAAGTTGCCCTGTTGTCATCCGTTCTCGTAAAGTATAACAAACTTTTGAGCGTTTGAGCCGCCGTGTTTCCTGCCAGGTAAATGACGCTCCGCAACGTGGTGACGTCATTCGGGGCGACTGGAATCGATAAGGGAATCGTTTGCAAAAATGGCAAACGATTCCAAGGAATTGAAACAGTGGGAACCGGTTCTCAACAAGAACCGGGTTTTCGATACCCATCCCTACTGAGCAGCCAGACTGCATTTTATAATCAGTTTAGTGATTTATTGATCAGTGTTTTATTTATCAGCTATTACTGTATGTATTACTGATCACCAGCTTTCTGCTCTTCACACACACGCACACTGATCATCACAGATTCAGAGGTGTGTGGTGAGAAACCTAACCCTAACTTAGACTGTCTGATAACCCTGACCCAGTACTCACTCTTTACTGCCTGGACGTCAGCTTCCTGCTCTACTTCCTCTGGTGAACATTTATTCAGATTAAATCTTCGGGCAAGTGGATTAAGGATTTGTACCATTTCCACCAGGGGCAGGAAAGTAAAGCTGGATTATCAGCAGGTTTTATTTTGCATCAGATGGAGTCTTTATAGCCATAAGAACATCTGCTTGATGTTTGGTGTGAGTGCTCCGCCACAGAGACACTGCTGAAGACACACAGCAGCAGATCCAGGAGTGTGTGTGTGTGTGTGCACGTGTGTGTACGTGTGTGTGCGTGTGCACATGTGTTTGTGCATGCAGTTTAATGAATTAACCCAAGCTTAACTTGCTGTGAAAGGGCCGGAGTTTACATCATGTGACCAATCAGAAACATGGACAGATCAGCAAACTGATCTCTGTTTATTTCCTTCATGAACAAATGGAAAAGAGGCCGTTTATACAATGATTTCCACCTGCAATCCCTGGCCAGGTAAAAATACGTGACACACACAAGTTGACACACAAGCCACCACGGCGAGTGGATGGGCGAGCCGGCTGGCTTGGATTGGCTCTTAGCCTGCACCTTTGCTGTGCTTCCAGTTCTTCGCACGGTGGTTTTGGCGACTCAACGTCAGGATGAAAAAGCAATAGAAAGCACAAAAACACCATTTAGCCTGGAGTGGCTGTTGTGTGCTGCTGCCGCAACGCCAATTACTAAAGTATGACAAAGTCTATAAAACGAATAATGCGCCTGAAAAGTGTGTTGCATTCATGACAACCACTTAAGTAAAATTTCAAATCTACAGTAACAAAAATCATGCAGCCATTTTCTTCTGCTTGTCTGAAGTCGGGTTTAGGGGCAGCAGCAGGAAAGCCCCTCCCCCTTTCACCTCATCCTCCAGGAAAACAGAGACATTCCCTGGCCAGCCGATCAATCTGATCTCTCCAGCATATCCCGGGCCTCCTCACCCTAGGACATGCCTGGCTGAAACACCTTACCCCAGAGGCGACAGCGTTAGCCATCTCCTTTCGATGTGGAGGAGTTCCCCTCCTGAATGGCTGAAGTCCTCACCCTAACCCTAAGGGAGAGCCCATCCACCTTCTGGAGAAAACTCATTTCTGCTGCTTCAATCTGCATCTCGTTTTACAGTGTTCACAAAATGATATGTGCGAGATTAACAGATTTATGGCGTTTCTCAACAACAAAGTGCATTTGGTGCCAGATGGCTGCTTAGGACACTCTAACTGGGCATGAATTAAAAATATAATTCCATTAAACCACCGGGTCACTGACCAGTACTGGTCCGTGAGAGCTGAGACTCTGGTTGAAATTTATGGTTTTCAGGGTTTTTATTGTTAGCTCTGTTTTCCTGGGTCTTTTCCTGTGTTGTAGTTGTACGTCTTATTTTGAAAGAAATATTTACACGTTACCATAGCGACCAGAGAGCATTAAGGGGCAGAGAGGAGGATGTTACTCTCAATGCTGTTGATGCATTTCAGGAGGATGCTAATAAAGTTACACAATTACACAGTGATTTTGCATTTATTATTATATTTACAAAATCCCTCAGTTTTTGTCTCTGTCGTATTGCTTTATTTTGTTGTATTTATCCGCCACACCTTAAAGGCCGGTCCGTGAAAATATTGTCTGACATCAAACCGGTCTGTGGAGCAAAAAGGTTTGGGGACCACTGGATTAAAGCACTAGTAAGTCTGTTACTGACAACAATGATGAAGGGGAGGGAGAGCATGGTCCCCTGAGGGGCCACTGTGCTGCCTCAGACATACGGTACAGAAGCCTCACATACTGTGGTTGAGGTGGTAGATCGTCTATGCAGTCAGGTGACTGAAAATCAATATGATATCAGCATTAGGGAGCGTTGCATTCTTCAAGTAAAGCCCTGGCTCATCTCTCCGCTTTCATTAAATAAATTTAGAGTTCTGATTAGACGTTGACAGGTGTGTCATCCAGGTCATGGCAGCTATCCTGTGGACTATCCTGTGCTGGTAGATGTTCTGCAGAGAGGCCACTGGACTCCTAACGATCTTTTTGGCAGCCTTCACCACTTTCCAGGCATTTGCAGTCCATAGGATTGGTGTTGCCGTATCACGATGCAGAAGGTCAGGATGCTCTCAGCTGCTGCAGCTGTAGAAGTTTCTACATATGAAACTCATCGTCCTCAGGAATCACAGCCACTGCTGAGCCCTCCTAACCAGTTCTGTGGGGTTAAATGTCCCACTGAGGTCCCCAACTGATGTTGGGATTTGTTTTTATCTTTAAGCCTAATATCTCACAATTAGAATCACATATTTGTCTTTTACTGCACACAGTGTATTGTAGAAGAGTTTTGGATTCACTCTGATAAAACAGACCATGTTTCCTC